TCAGCAATCATCTGTTTCTTGTCATCCGCACTACATCCACGCACATTTAAGCAACCCAGTTTTATAAAGTTTTTCTTCTTCTCTTTTTTAGTAATTGTATACAGGAGAAGGGGTTACTAGCCCATTGCTCCCGGCATTTTAGTCGCCTCATACGACACGCATGGCTTACGGAGGAAAGATTCTTTTCCACTTCCCCATGGACAATAGAAGAAATAAAAAAGAACAAGAGCTATTTAGAAAAAGGAGAAAAACCTAGATGTATGTATATATATATATGCATGTGCGTGTCTGTTTATTGAACTTAAATAACTTTGTAGATGATTTTGCAATCGTTATGACGGTAATAAGAGAGAAAATTTGTTAGATTTGTTGAATATTGTCTTGTTGACAGTAAGTGTTTGTGGCCCTTTTCTAATGCTATAATATTCAACCTTTCTGACTGTGGGTACTGGTATTCCTGGGGACATTTCCTGTGCCCTTCTCTCTCTCCCTCACTCCAGTGAAGACGTCCTCTGGGATTGTATTTGCTTGTACATCCTCGTCTTTTCTGCAACTTTGCAAGCTCCTGATGATGTGTTGATTGCAACACGAAAGGCCTAGAGGTATCATTCTACTCCCCCCGTGGTTGTGTTGCATCCTGTATCACTTGGTTTGCAATATTTGCATAATACCACATAATATATTAATACTCGTAAGTTGCACAGCCGTTGCAGTACTGCTATAATGTTGATCAATGTTGCAGTTGGTTCAATAGGTTTTAGAATGATAATTTAAACCTTTATTGACAAGTTGGCAACCCAGGCGGTATGACGGTGCCGGGACACGTGGAGAAGGTGTCGTACAGCCACCAGTACCCCCACCGTCACTCTTAGTAGCATTGTTTGCCTGTGTAAATTATCAACATTTAACACACTGGTTGAGACACCTTCGGGAAGACGATGTTCAGTTCTTTTTTCATTCAACTCTGGCGAGTTGTGGCAGTGTGGACTTCCTGGGTCAGTGTCCTGGCTGCTGCTGTGTACACGCTGCCTGCCTTCCTTGTCCATGCTGCCTGCCTGCCATCTTAAATAATAATAATAATAATAATAATAATAATAATAATTGCATTAATAGCAGAGGTAAAATTGTATTATTTTTTATTACCACTACTGATTATTATTATTATTATTATTATTATTATTATTATTATTGTTATTATAGTCTGGCCGCGAGGTAATGAGGTTTGGTCTAAGGGGAGGATAGTTTCAATTCCTTGGATCTAGAGCCCTTCACCAGCATCAATACCTCTTTGAAGGGTCTAGTTTTAAATAGCAACCAACACATTCGTTATGTATCACGTAATCTGTCCTCTAGAACGTACGTTTTCGCACGCATTACAGTTAATGATTCTGTCTGACCTATCTTCTTATTTTCCCTGTAAGTTAGGTCAGTCTAAATTAACCTATATTATAGTAACGTTGACTGTCAGTGACGTGCGTGTGAAAATGCACGAACTTAATTTCAACATCCCGAGACTGTTCAACTGCCTCCCAGCACACATAAGGGGGATTACCAACAGACCCCTGGCAGTCTTCAAGCTGGCACTGGACAAGCACCTAAGTCAGTTCCTGATCAGCCGGGCTGTGGCTCGTACGTTGGTTTGCGTGCAGCCAGCAGCAACAGCCTGGTTGATCAGGCGCTGATCCACCAGGAGGCCTGGTCACAGACCGGGCCGCGGGGGCGTTGACCCCCGAAACTCTCTCCAGGTAAACTCCAGGTAAACATCCCCCCCCCGTGTCTTGAATATGGGTTAATCTAGCCTAAAATAGTATGTAGAAAATTGATTTAAAAGCTAGCAGGCCTAGAAAAAAATTATATTAAGTAATATGTCAAGAAACAACAAGGGATATATATATATAAAGGCAGGCTAGGCTGACTGAGACTGTTATTAAGGTAGGCTAGGCTGACTGAGACTGTTATTAAGGTAGGCTAGGCTGACTGAGACTGTTATTAAGGTAGGCTAGGCTGACTGAGACTGTTATTAAGGTAGGCTAGGCTGACTGAGACTGTTATTAGGTAAGCTAGGCTGACTGAGACTGTTATTAAGGTAGGCTAGGCTGACTGAGACTGTTATTAAGGTAGGCTAGGCTGACTGAGACTATTATTAAGGTAGGCTAGGCTGACTGAGACTGTTATTAAGGTAGGCTAGGCTGACTGAGACTGTTATTAAGGTAGGCTAGGCTGACTGAGACTGTTATTAAGGTAGGCTAGGTTGACAGTGTTATTAAGGTAGGCTAGGCTGACTGAGACTGTTATTAAGGTAGGCTAGGCTGACTGAGACTGTTATTAAGGTAGGCTAGGCTGACTGAGACTGTTATTAAGGTAGGCTAGGCTGACTGAGACTGTTATTAAGGTATGGCTAGGCTGACTGAGACTGTTATTAAGGTAAGCTAGGCTGACTGAGACTGTTATTAAGGTAGGCTAGGCTGACTGAGACTGTTATTAAGGTAGGCTAGGCTGACTGAGACTGTTATTAAGGTAGGCTAGGCTGACTGAGACTGTTATTAAGGTAGGCTAGGCTGACTGAGACTGTTATTAAGGTAGGCTAGGCTGACTGAGACTTATTAAGGTAGGCTAGGCTGACTGAGACTGTTATTAAGGTAGGCTAGGCTGACTGAGACTATTATTAAGATAGGCTAGGCTGACTGAGACTGTTATTAAGGTAGGCTAGGCTGACTGAGACTGTTATTAAGGTAGGCTAGGCTGACTGAGACTGTTATTAAGGTAGGCTAGGTTGACAGTGTTATTAAGGTAGGCTAGGCTGACTGAGACTGTTATTAAGGTAGGCTAGGCTGACTGAGACTGTTATTAAGGTAGGCTAGGCTGACTGAGACTGTTTATTAAGGTAGGCTAGGCTGACTGAGACTGTTATTAAGGTAGGCTAGGCTGACTGAGGACTGTTATTAAGGTAAGCTAGGCTGACTGAGACTGTTATTAAGGTAGGCTAGGCTGACTGAGACTGTTATTAAGGTAGGCTAGGCTGACTGAGACTGTTATTAAGGTAGGCTAGGCTGACTGAGACTGTTATTAAGGTAGGCTAGGCTGACTGAGACTGTTATTAAGGTAGGCTAGGCTGACTGAGACTGTTATTAAGGTAGGCTAGGCTGACTGAGACTGTTATTAAGGTAGGCTAGGCTGACTGAGACTGTTATTAAGGTAGGCTAGGCTGACTGAGACTGTTATTAAGGTTAAGCTAGGCTGACTGAGACTGTTATTAAGGTAGGTAGGCTGGGCTGAGACTGTTATTAAGGTAAGCTAGGCTGACTGAGACTGTTATTAAGGTAGGCTAGGCTGACTGAGACTGTTATTAAGGTAGGCTAGGCTGACTGAGACTGTTATTAAGGTAGGCTAGGCTGACTGAGACTGTTATTAAGGTAGGCTAGGCTGACTGAGACTGTTATATTAAGGTAGGCTAGGCTGACTGAGACTGTTATTAAGGTAGGCTAGGCTGACTGAGGACTGTTATTAAGGTAGGCTAGGCTGATGAGACTGTTATTAAGGTAGGCTAGGCTGACTGAGACTATTATTAAGGTAGGCTAGGCTGACTGAGACTGTTATTAAGGTAGGCTAGGCTGACTGAGACTGTTATTAAGGTAGGCTAGGCTGACTGAGACTGTTATTAAGGTAGGCTAGGTTGACAGTGTTATTAAGGTAGGCTAGGCTGACTGAGACTGTTAAGGTAGGCTAGGCTGACTGAGACTATTATTAAGGTAGGCTAGGCTGACAGTGTTATTAAGGTAGGCTAGGCTGACTGAGACTATTATTAAGGTAGGCTAGGCTGACTGAGACTGTTATTAAGGTAGGCTAGGCTGACTGAGACTATTATTAAGGTAGGCTAGGCTGACTGAGACTGTTATTAAGGTAGGCTAGGCTGACTTAGACTGTTATTAAGGTAGGCTAGGCTGAATGAGACTGTTATTAAGGTAGGCTAGGCTGACTGAGATTATTATTAAGGTAGGCTAGGCTGACTGAGACTATTATTAAGGTAGGCTAGGCTGACTGAGACTATTATTAAGGTAGGCTAGGCTGACAGACTATTATTAAGGTAGGCTAGGCTGACTGAGATTATTATTAGGTAGGCTAGGCTGACTGAGATTATTATTAAGGTAGGCTAGGCTGACTGAGACTATTATTAAGGTAGGCTAGGCTGACTGAGACTATTATTAAGGTAGGCTAGGCTGACTGAGACTATTATTAAGGTAGGCTAGGCTGACTGAGACTATTATTAAGGTAGGCTAGGCTGTCTGCTGGCCTACATATACTCCCTCCTTCTCTCATTTTTTTTTTTTTTTTTAATTTTATAGAAAACAAAAATGAGAGAAGGAGGGAGTATATGTAGGCCAGCAGACAGGGACGGGACAAGAGAGGTAGTAGGAAAGGAAGAAGAGAGGTAGTGGTAGAGGTAATAGTAGTACTAGAGTCAGTCAGAGACTAAGAAAGGGGAACACTACAAGGGAACTAAGGGCCCAGTAGGGTAGGAACAAGAACACACAGGGGGGAGGGGAGAAGAACCAAAAACCCAAGGCAGAGGTAATAAAACAAAACCCAGATGACTACTGATAGCTGGTGTTTCGTGTTTACAAGTCGGATGATCACCACTCTGTTATTAAGCAGGACAGTGTTTCGCCCAGTGTAGAGCTCTACATAGAGCGAAACGTTATCGCGGTTATTGTGCAATGCGTCTTTTTCTTAGTGTTGTCGGCAGTACGCCATTTGGATGCAATGTGGTGTTGTCGTGTGTGTGGCAGCGGGGTGGAGGGAGCGCTGCCCCCACACGCTAACTTTATCCTCGGAGTCTGGTGTTGGCTGTTGCTGTTCCTCTGGTCACACCACTACTGTCACTGCCTCACCTGTGCTGCCAGTAGCTCCTCTCGCATCCCTCGAGGTTCGGCGTACTCTTAAGTCTGTGTACTCAGACATAGTAGTCATTGCTAGTTGGTGGTGGTGTTTGTACCGGTAAGGCAAAATGTCGACGCAGTTGATGAAATTCTTACTGGCCGATGCCCGAGATGTTAAAGACACTGGACCGTCTCCTTACGAGGGAGACTCGAACTTGATTCTCGCGATACAGAGGCATGGTCCTAGCCACGTTCGCGCCAGAGCTCGAAATCGACTCTCGCTCGATCTGGACCTTGCGGGGCCGCATGAAGCCGTGGTGGCTAAGGAACACACGAGGCCGCAAGTGACTTACCGTCGCACTGCAAGCGACATCGCCGCACTTAACCAAAATCGACGCTCGCTCAATCTGGACTTCCTGACTCACGAGGGTCAGCACCCTCGGGTTTGTAGTCGCCGGACAGTGCATTTCGGAAACCTACCTGACTCTCCCGAAGCTGCCCGCAGATATCTGCAGCAGCAGGAGGAGCAGCAAAAGCAAGTTCGACGCCGCTGTCGACCTCCTGACCGCCGTGAAGACACCCCCAGCGATGCTGATGGCTCTGGTGGGGATCACGCTGGGGTCTCCCCCCGCTTGCTACGCCTCCTTGATATTAAACCCAAGGATTATGCCGAAGCACAAAGGCTGAAGAAGATGCTAAAGCGGGCAGTGAACCGGCCAGACACCACCTTCGAAGACCTGAAAGTGTACCGCTTGGCCATGAAGAAGTTAAGACGCATCATTCGCCAGGAGCAAGAAATGGAAATCCTTCGTCAGGCAGAAGAAGAGAGGCAGGAACAGTTCCAGAGCTTTATTGACAAGGTATAGTAAGTACACATTAGACTAAGCCTTCTTTGAAGTCTCAGACTTTGTGTATGTATCTAAGGCTTCGTGTAACACAAGGTGTAGGGCTTAGTGTAAATAGGTTGGAAAGGTTTGAGCAAGGACACGAGGATTCTAATAAAAACGTAAGAAATCGTGTAAAGACGTAAAGGGTTATGTAAGAACGTAAGAGTTCAGGTAAGGACGAGGGTTTGTGTAAGGACGTATAGGTTAAGGACGTAAGGATTCGTGTAAGGATGAAAGATGTAATGGAAGGACGTAACTATTCGAGTACTTGTGTCTGGATTCATACTAGGTAAAGATTGGTTTACGTACATATGAAATAGTGTACACACGTAAGGATTCGTATACACAGGTAGAGACTGCTGTGTACACACATAAGGATTCGTATACACAGAGACTGCTGTACTTATATGTGTACTCTCGCGCGTACAGTAAATGTTTAAGGCTGGAAATATATACACATATGCAGTATAATGTGATCCTTTATTGACTACGTTTCGCCCACACAGTGGGCTTTTTCAAGTCACAAACAGAACTGTGTTCTGTTTGTGACTTGAAAAAGCCCACTGTGTGGGCGAAACGTTGTCAATAAAGGATCACATTATACTGCATATGTGTTTATATTTCCATTGTGTCGGTATTTTATACCATTTATTTCCAAATGTTTAAGGCTGAAAATATACTTCCTAACAACCCTTGTAATGTAGATCATAATGTTTTTATTTTCGTGAATAATGATTTGATGAGTTATTATTATTATTATTATTATTATTATTATTATTATTATAAACAAGAAAGTGGTAAATCCGAATGGGTCGTAGTGCTAACTTAGGTTACTTACTCATCCCCCTCATGGGGGGGGGGAAGGTTAGGTTCGTCAGGAAACAGTTTTTTTCTTTTCTTTTTTAGATTTTTGCCAGCCATACATAAAAGGCCTAGGAACTAGGCCTCAAAAGGCCTTACAGGAGTACATCTGGATATACATCTACAGTTCACTTATCTGTTACAAGCAAATTTAAGAAATTTGCTTAATATGTATGGTATCTTATTTGCGTTAATAAGATATCTTGACATGTCACAGGATATTATACTGTTTCTATATTTGTTCAGTAAGTGTTAAACCCATGTGGGTCATTCTGCACAAGACGTGGTGGAGGCTTGATCCTCCGTCTGCTGAGCACCAGACAGACATATGACCCGGTACTGAAGGTCAGTGACATATGACCCAGTACTGAAGGTCAGTGACATATGACCCGGTACTGAAGGTCAGTGACATATGACCCGGTACTGAAGGTCAGTGACATATGACCCAGTACTGAAGGTCAGTTACATATGACCCGGTACTGAAGGTCAGTGACATATGACCCAGTACTGAAGGTCAGTTACATATGACCCGGTACTGAAGGTCAGTGACATATGACCCGGTACTGAAGGTCAGTGACCGTCTATATGATATTCTTGTTAGTAAACATACCTCCTGGCGCGGCGAGGTTCACCACCAGTCGAGAAAACTGTGATACCAAAATAGATAAGAAACTCTGTGTATATACACGGAGAAACACACCTTTTAGTATATATGTACGTTGTATATACACTGAAATATGTACCTCTGGGAGTATTTCCCAACATACACATCTTGGTGTATATACACACTGAGAGGCATATACCTCAGTGAATATAAATTGAGAGACATCACCTCCGGATGTATGTATGGGGAATAGGATGTCAGGAGAGAAGTTACCGTTGCTGTGGTGTGGTAGTGTTGCAAGGGGTGGGTAGTGTTGCAGGGGGTGGGTAGTGTTGCAGGGGGAAGGGGGTATCATTGAGGTTGCCAACTTGATACTGTGATCCACCTTAACCTTGCCAACACTTGCTTCCCACACGTGGCCCAGGTGCTCTACCCACCTAGATGCTGTTCAGGTGTGTCTGGGAACCCCAGTTGTGTATTTGCACCTAGGTGCCACTGCAGTATTTGCACCTAGGTGCCACTGCAGTATTCATTATTCACTGCACAGTACTTATCATACAGTATTCAGTAATTGAGATATTTCATTTCCTGATGAATAACTCGGCAATTATATTTCTCCGGCCTAAATGCCGGGAAATTTACCCTTTCGCCAAAAATTTTTGTTACTTCTGTGAAGGAAGGTAACTGGGCCATTCTTTTGTGCAGGTGCCTGATCAACCAGGTTGTGATTGCTGTGTGGGCCGCTAGCACCAAGAGTCTGGTGGATCAGGCATTAAACATGTAGAACTCTGGAAACGGGTATAACACAGGTTTGAACTGCGTCCAGTGGGAGGGTAAGTTGTGGAAGAGGCAGTAAACAGCAGTTTCACTCAGTGTTCAGATTGTTTCACCCAAGGTTTCGCTCACGGGCAACTTTATCAAGATTCTAAACAAACTGAAGACGATCTTAGTGTTAGAGCGAAACATTTACGTTGTAATCACGTGTTTCATGGTCACCTTGAGGATTGACCTGTGTCAAGGTCACCTTGAGGGTTGACCTGTGTCAAGGTCACCTTGAGGGTTGACCTGTGTCAAGGTCACCTTGAGGGTTGACCTGTGTCAAGGTCACCTTGAGGGTTGACCTGTGTCAAGGTCACCTTGAGGGTTGACCTGTGTCAAGGTCTCCTTGAGGGTTGACCTGTGTCAAGGTCACCTTGAGGGTTGACCTGTGTCAAGGTCACCCTTTAGGGGTTGACCTGTGTCAAGGTCACCTTGAGGGTTGACCTGTGTCAAGGTCTCCTTGAGGGTTGACCTGTGTCAAGGTCTCCTTGAGGGTTGACCTGTGTCAAGGTCACCTTGAGGGTTGACCTGTGTCAAGGTCTCCTTGAGGATTGACCTGTGTCAAGGTCTCCTTGAGGGTTGACCTGTGTCAAGGTCACCTTGAGGGTTGACCTGTGTCAAGGTCACCTTGAGGGTTGACCTGTCAAGGTCACCTTGAGGGTTGACCTGTGTCAAGGTCACCTTGAGGGTTGACCTGTGTCAAGGTCACCTTGAGGGTTGACCTGTGTCAAGGTCACCTTGAGGGTTGACCTGTGTCAAGGTCACCTTGAGGGTTGACCTGTGTCAAGGTCACCTTGAGGGTTGACCTGTGTCAAGGTCTCCTTGAGGGTTGACCTGTGTCAAGGTCACCTTGAGGGTTGACCTGTGTCAAGGTCACCTTGAGGGTTGACCTGTGTCAAGGTCACCTTGAGGGTTGACCTGTGTCAGGTCTCCTTGAGGGTTGACCTGTGTCAAGGTCTCCTTGAGGGTTGACCTGTGTCAAGGTCACCTTGAGGGTTGACCTGTGTCAAGGTCTCCTTGAGGATTGACCTGTGTCAAGGTCACCTTGAGGGTTGACCTGTGCCAAGGTCACCTTGAGGGTTGACCTGTGTCAAGGTCACCTTGAGGGTTGACCTGTGTCAAGGTCACCTTGAGGGTTGACCTGTGCCAAGGTCACCTTGAGGGTTGACCTGTGTCAAGGTCACCTTGAGGGTTGACCTGTTCCAAGGTCACCTTGAGGGTTGACCTGTGTCAAGGTCACCTTGAGGGTTGACCTGTGCCAAGGTCACTTGAGGGTTGACCTGTGTCAAGGTCACCTTGAGGGTTGACCTGTGTCAAGGTCACCTTGAGGGTTGACCTGTGTCAAGGTCACCTTGAGGGTTGACCTGTGTCAAGGTCACCTTGAGGGTTGACCTGTGTCAAGGTCACCCTTTAGGGTTGACCTGTGTCAAGGTCACCTTGAGGTTGACCTGTGTCAAGGTCACCTTGAAGGTTGACCTGTGTCAAGGTCACCTTGAGGGGTTGACCCGTCAAGGTCACCTTGGGGGGTTGACCTATGTCAAGGTCACCTTGAGGGTTTGACCTTGTCAAGGTCACCTTGAGGGTTGACCTGTCAAGGTCACCTTGAGGGTTGACCTATGTCAAGGTCACCTTGAGGGTTGACCTATGTCAAGGTCACCTTGAGGGTTGACCTGTGTCAAGGTCACCTTGAGGGTTGAACCCGTGTCAAGGTCACCTGAGGGTTGACCTGTGTCAAGGTCACCTTGAGGGTTGACCTGTGTCAAGGTCACCTTGAGGGTTGACCTGTGTCAAGGTCACCTTGAGGGTTGACCTGTGTCAAGGTCACCTTGGAGGGGTTTCCTGTGTCAAGGTCACCTTGAGGGTTGACCTGTGCCAAGGTCACCTTGAGGGTTGACCTGGCCAAGGTCACCTTGAGGGTTGACCTGTGTCAAGGTCACTTTAGGGTTGACCCGTGTCAAGGTCACCTTGAGGGTTGACCTGTGCCAAGGTCACCTTGAGGGTTGACCTGTGTCAAGGTCACCTTGAGGGTTGACCTGTGTCAAGGTCACCTTGAGGGTTAACCTGTGTCAAGGTCACCTTGAGGTTTGACCTGTGCCCAAGGTCCCCTTGAGGGTTGACCTGTGCCAAGGTCACCTTTAGGGTTTGACCTGTGTCAAGGTCACCTTGAGGGTTTTACCTGTGTCAAGGTCACCTTGAGGGTTGACCTGTGTCAAGGTCCCTTGAGGGTTGGGCCTGTGTCAAGGTCACCTTGAGGGTTGACCTGTGTCAAGGTCACCTTGAGGGTTGACCTGTGTCAAGGTCACCTTGAGGGTTGACCTGTGCCAAGGTCACCTTGAGGGTTGACCTGTGTCAAGGTCACCTTGAGGGTTGACCTGTGTCAAGGTCACCTTGAGGGTTGACCTGTGTCAAGGTCACCTTGAGGGTTGACCCGTGTCAAGGTCACCTTGAGGGTTGACCTGTGCCAAGGTCCCTTGAGGGTTGACCTGTGTCAAGGTCACCTTGAGGGTTGACCTGTGTCAAGGTCACCTTGACGGTTGACCTGTGTCAAGGTCACCTTGAGGGTTGACCTGTGTCAAGGTCACAGCCTTAACAACATTATATGGAAGACCAACAACGACGGGAAGCACTTGGAAATATGTAGCCGTTGTAACGTCTATTTTGAGACGAACATGGAAGACGGGGGTTATGT